TCCGTCCCCCCCGCCCTTGCTTCTTGACCCCCTCCTTCACAATCCCGGCCACCTACTGCTTTCCCCACACTATTCTCTGTGTCTATTGGTTATGTATATATGCATTTAAGTTCTTTGGTTTCTCTTTTCCCACCCCACTTCCCACTTTCCTTTGAGCTTCATCAGTCTAACAACCAATTTGTACTTCTTAATTCCTTCATCTTTTTCACCCATCCCCCCAGCCCCTCTCATTTGGGAAGCAACAAAAAGTTCTCTGTATCTGAGTCTGTTTCTGTTCTGCTTCCTCATTTTGTTTGTAGATTCAATTGTCAATAGATATATATTTATTGCCATTTTATTGTTCATATTTTTGTTCTTCTCTTTCAAGAAGACCCTTCAACATTTCATATAATACTGGTTTGGTGGTGATGAATGCCTTTAGCTTTTTCTTGTTTGGCAAACTTTATTTGGCCATCAATTCTAAGTGACAGCTTTGCAGGACAGAGTAATCTTGGTTGTAGGTTCTTGCTTTTCATCACTCTGAATATTTCTTGCCACTCCCTTCTGGCCTGCAAAGTTTCTTTTGAGAAATCATCTGACAGTCTTATGGGAGCTCCTTTTTAGGTAACGAACTGCTTTTTTCTTGCTGCTTTTAAGATTCTCTTTGTCTTTAACCTTTGCATGCAACAACTTTGACAACTCAGATAAAATGGATACATTTATGAAAGACACTTGTACTCATTTCCTATTGCTGTCGTTAAATTACCATAGCATAGTGGCTTAAAACAATACAAAGGTATTATTTTACAAAATGGGTTCCACTCGGCAAAAATCAAGGTATTGGCAGGATTAAATTCCTCCTTCTGGAGGATCTGAAGGAGAATCTATCTCCCTCCCTTTGGCAACTTCTGGAGGCTACCTGCATTCATTGGCTCCTGTTTCCCAGACAGCAATCACTTCATGCTGACCTCTGCTTCTGTTGTCATATTTTCTTTCTGATATTCTTATAGACTCCTGTGATTAGATAGACCCATGCAGACAATCCAGAATAATCTTTCCATTTCAAGATCATTAACTTAACCACATATTCAAAGTCACTTTTGCCTTGTAAGGTAATACATTCACAGAGTTTGGAGATTAAGACATACACATTTTGAGAGATCATTCTGCCTACCAGTGACACAAATGACCAAAATGGATACAAAAAGAAATAGAATATTTTAATAACTCTCTATCTGTCAAAGAACTTAAATTTGTAGTTTAAAATCTTCTCATAAAGAAACTTCCAGACTGATGTGGCTTCAATGATTAATTCTGTCAAATACTTAGAGAAGAAATGAAATGTGACTCTTTATACCAAACACAAAAATTACCCTGAAATGGATTAAAGACCTAAACATAAAAGCAAAAATGATAAAACTTCTAGAAGTAAACTTGGGAGAATGTGTTTTTTGGCTTTGGGATAAGCAAAGAATTTTTAAATATGACACAAAAAGCATAAACTATAAAAAATTTTTGCTAAGTTTTTCTGCTTCAAAGTATATACCTTTGTTCTTCAAAAGACAATGGCAAGAAAATGAAAAGGCAAGCCACTGACTGGAGAAACTATTTGCCATATATACATCTGACCAAGACCACTTTCCAGAATATATAAAGTACTCTTACAGCTCAATAAGAAGAAAAACAATTCAATAGAAACAGTGGGCAAAGAAGATATACAAATAACTGATAAGCACCTGAGAAGATGCTCACCAGCGTTAGTCATCAGAGAAACACTATTAAAGCCATATTAATATACTACTACTTATTTGAGTTGAGAAAATTGTAAAAAATTTTTAAATACCGTGTTAGCAAGGGTATGAAACACCTGAACTTCATATATTGCTGATGAGGATAAAAAATAGTATAACCATTTTAGAAAACAATTTGACAGTTGCTTATTAAGTTGAATATATGCTTTGACTTAGCAATTCCAATTCTAGATTTTCCTCCAGATAAACCATGAAAACACATGTTCACAAAAAATATATGAAACAAAACATATGAGAACATATAGCTACACAAAATCTTGCCCATTAGTGATCATAGCAGTTTTATTCAAATAACCAAAACCTGTACATAAAAATTCCATCAACAGGTAAATAGATAACTTATGGGCTATCCATACCATATCATATTACTCAGAAATAAAAAGGAACAAACTATTGATGCCTATAACAGAATAGATGGACCTCAAAAGCGTTATCTTGAGCAAAAAGGAAAGACACAAAAGAGTATATTCTCTATGATTGCCATTTATATAAAATTCTAGAACAGGCAAAACTTAGTTATCTTGTCAGAAAGAAGATCAACCATTGACTGGGGCTGAGAATGGGAGCAACTGCAAAGGGGCATGAGGGTACTTTCTGCAGTGATGGAAATTTTGACTACATGGGTGTACATATATGTCAAAATTCATTAAACTGTGCACTTAACCTGGGTGCGTATTATTACATGTAAATTGTAATTCAACAAAATTGATTTTTCTAATAAAAGAAAAAACACTTAAAAAATGAAAAGACTTGGGCCCCATTATAGCAGGACTAAGACGGAGGCCCCAAACCTGCATTTTAAACAAGCCTATGGATAACTATGCTGCAAGTTGTTTCACTTATAGAAACAGAATTGGTCTCTATGAGCACCCAACTCTTGGACAACAAATCAACCAGGCAAGCAAATAAAATTCAGCAGAAACGTTTTTGAGTTTTTGTGTGCCCTCATTCCATCTCCCAGTCTCCACTCTTTAGCTGGAATACTCATCACTGCCAAAGTATCCTTCTGGGTGCTCTGTTGTCCCAACTGCTGGCTCAACTGTGGATAAATTTTCTTCACTCATTCTTTACAAAAGGAAGTTTGCTAGGAAAATAAATGGGAGAAAATCAAAATAAAAACCCAGCCCTGGCCGGTGTGGTTCAGCGGTTTGAGCGTCGGCCTGTGGTCCTGAGAGACCCGGGTTCGGTTCCCGCTAAGGGCGCGTACCTCGGTTGCAGTTTGTCCCTGGCCCTGGTCGGTTGTGCGGGTGGCAGCCACTCGATGTGTTCCTTTCACATCGATGTTTCTCTCTCTCTCTCTGTTCCTCTCTCTCCCTCCCACTCTACCTGAACAAAAAATGGAAAAATGTCCTCGGGTGAGGATAAAAAATAAATAAAAACCCAATATATGAAGAGAAACAAATATATTTTCAGAGCACAGATCCCTTCCCATAAGGTCATTCCTGTCTGGCACCAGATGGACTTGGCTAGCCCAGGTCACTGGACACATGGCACCTATGAATATATCTACTCCAGGGAACAGCAAGTAGCCAGGGAACCCGATGGACTACCTGTGTAGAGAACAAAACCATACTACAAGAGATATGCTAAGAGCACTAATAGCCCAGAGGAAAATAATAGCCCTGCCAAATTAAACCTAGGTGCTCTATTTCCATTCCTTAGTCTTTTCCTCCTGTCTGACATATCTTTTGTCTCCTTGTTCAGGTCTACTTGTTGAAATCCTTGTCAACCCTCATGGCCAAGCTTGAATAACATCTTCTCCTTATCAGGGCCCTCTAGGCAAGCTCTCTTTCCCTGAAATTCCTATGGCACTTGGCCTGAAGAGCTCTTACAGAATTTGTATTTTAGTTGCCATGTGCACACCATATCTATTCTGCCAGATTGTAATCTTGTTGATTATAGAAACTATAATTTATTATCTATGCTAGGTATAGCCTGCATACTTCCTAGTACATTACTTAGAAATTTGTGGGTGTTTTGTGTACATTTATTGTAGAAATTAATGAATGATTCAGTCCATGCTGATTCATATCTCTGAGGTTTTGCTTACACTGTTCCTTTTTTTCTGGAGAATCCTTCCCACTTCAAGTGTTATTTCCCCCAATAAGCTTTCCTAGATCTCCAAGCTGTTGGGCTCCTATAGCACTCTGGGTATCCCCCTACTTTATCACTTACAAGCACCATCATATATTAAAATAAAATATTTATTACCTGTTTCACATACTTTACCATAAGCTTTTAGAAGCCAAAGATTTCATCCTAGCCATCCTTATTTTACCACCACCTAGCCTGGTGTTGGGTAATAGTACACACTTTATAAATATTTTTCAAACATTTATATAATCCCTTCAGAAGTTTCTGGAAGCATTAGCCCATGACACAGAGGATCTAGTTTATCTACTTTGTGTTTCTATTAGAATAGCCAAAACTCTCCTGAGCTCCAATTCCCGGAGAAAACCCAGCATAAACAACCTTGCCATTCTAAATTTCCTCTTATCTGAAAGAAGGAGTCGGACTAGGTGTTCTCTGGAGTCCCTTATAGTCCTATGATCCTTGTGTTCCAGGGATTCCCCAGCAGAATAGGGTTGCTGAGTACAAAAGAGGCAAGTGTGGCCTTTCCTCAGAAGGTCTTTAGGATGGAACCCCTGCCTCTGGGATGGCTGAACACGGGGGAAAGAATTCGTGACCCTTTCAGAGTACCCATGAATTCCTCTTTTTAAATACACCTCTCTCTCCTTTTGCTGCCTTTCCTTTTTCTTCTCATTCTCCCAGCCTCTCCCTCTTCTTTCCCTTTCCTTACCTGCTTCTCTTCTCCTACCCGTCCCATTGCACTTTCTCAGCACCTCTACTTTTGCCCATCTCGCTTTCCCTTTCTCTCCAGATTTGCCTTATTCATCTCGGCTCTCCTTCCTTTATCCTGCTTCCCTACCCACTCTCTCACTCGCCTCCCTCCTCTCGTGTCAGCCCTGCAGGAAGCCGAGACTCCTCACGAAGCCCGGAGGTGGGAGGATGGGTAGGTGGGCCCTAGTGCCGCGGTCCCGCCCCTCGATGCGTGTGTGAATGTGTGGCGGTGACGCGGCGCCGGCGGCGGGGAGGGAGGCTGGGCCCGCCGGAGAGGGAAGCGAGTGGATCGCTGGGGCTGCTCCGCTCCTGCGCGCCCTCGCGCTCCCTGCCGCCCGCCGAGGCGCAGGCAGGGCGCAGGCGGCGGCGGGAGGCATGGAGAGCCTGCTGGAGAATCCGGTGCGTGCCGTGCTCTACCTGAAGGAGCTCACGGCCATCGTGCAGAACCAGCAGAGCCTCATCCATACCCAGCGTCAGCGTATCGACGAGCTGGAGCGGCGGCTGGACGAGCTAAGCGCTGAGAACCGCAGCCTGTGGGAGCACCAGCAGCTACTGCAAGCCCAGCCTCCGCCCGGGCTTGTCCCCCCGTCGCCAGCCCCGCTACCGGTTATCCCAGTCACCGCTGCCACCCCCGCCGCCGCCGCCGCCGCCGCCCAGGAACCGCTCCAGAACCACGGACAGCTCCTGCCCTCCTCGCCACAGACCGCGCCGGAGCAGCCACCGCTTCAGCACCACGGACAGTTTCTTGTGCAGCCCCCACCGGGCCCTAGCAGTAGGGCGCACGCACCCCAGTCGCCCCACCAGCACCCGGTGTCTCCGGGGGCCGTCGCCAACAAGGAGAAGGAGCGGTCCCCGAGTTGTTGCGCTGCCGCTGGAACCCTCCTTCAGCACAAATCCCCTGCTGCCCTCGGCAAGGGCGTCCTGAGCAGGAGACCTGAGTGAGTGGGGAAGAGGGGATGCGGACTGTTGTGGTGGGAGAAAGGGAAGCAAATGGGTATGAGGAGGAGACACAGGGGAAATCGGGTGCACCAAAGAGTCTGAAGGACTAAGGTAACGTAAAGTGAGGGGGTGAGAAGATGTTTGGGGATAGACGTGTGTCAAGGAGATTTGGGGGAAAGGAGGGGATGATATCAGTGTTTGAGAGGGTTTGAGGGTTGTTGGAGCAAAAGGAATATCCAGACCATCATTGAGGGCAAAGGAAAAAAGGAATTGGGTTTAAGTGATTGGGGATGTTGGAAGCTAGCAGTTTTTAACGGGGACAAGATTGAGAGGAAGTTGGGGTGAAGATTAAACTAAAGAAAAGAGAACAGTTAGAGAATGTATTTAAGTTAGAAAAACCTTGAAGAGAGTTTGGGTAGTAAAATTATTTGAATGAAGAGTAAGATATGAAAAAGACGAAAGCTTGGCAAACAGGCTTGTTAAGGGCTTAAAAAGGCTGGGGTCCAGGAAGAGTAGAAGACCGAAGAAGATGAAGGGTGTGAGAAAGCATTTCCCAGAGGAATGAGCTGGCTCTTTAATTGATGCAGTGGAAGTCAAAGACAGGAGTGGTTCATTTGAGGAACCTTACTCTGCTCTGACCTGAGCGGGTGCCTTTCTTATGAATCCCAACAGAATCAGAGGGGTGCAAGGTAACAATCGACCAAGCCAATGGAAGACTGAGTTATAGTGTGAGGACTCAGTCTGGTTATAGCTTTCCCTCTGACTCAAAGAGGATTTCTGTGCAGGGTGGTTGGCAGTCGTGGAAAAGGAACAATGGTGAGAGAGACGGTTGCCAAACGGAGTTGGTATTTGAATGTAATTCCTGTTTAAATCTCTCTGTTATGGCTGGTGACTGCAAATCTTGTTTCCCTTTGTTTTTTGTTTGGTTGGGTTTTTATTGTTGTTGTTAATAACTGAAATCTCATGTTGAATCCTGAGAGAAATATGCTCATTAACCCCCCATGAGGGGCTCTAGGACCTTGAGCTCTTTCTTCACACCCAATGTCCATAAACTAGGAATATGAAAAGAAGAGATGAAAGGGGACTGGAATATTCTCTCCTGTGTGTTGGGAAAGCTGTGATCATGTCAGCTTCCTTTCTCTGATTAGAGAGGTGATGGGAGAACTGCATGGAATAACAGCTCCGGGGAAATCAGCACCTGGTCAGCACCTGACCCTGACAATGATGATGCTAAAGGAGTTGGTTAGGGGGAGGAGAGAGGGAGAGAGCGAAGCATCTCATCTTCATCCAGTCTTGATGTGCTTTAAGTCTGGGGATGCTTGTGAAGATTTTATATATTTCTTAAAAACTAATTTTTCTTCTCACATTTTTTGTAGAGTTAGAGAAGTTGGGTCAGGACATGTTAGCTCATAGGGTAGATTTGACCGGAGACATGAGATCTAAAGGGGAAAGATCTAGAATGATCTGAGTTGGCCGACCTAAAGCATTCGATTCGAGCCCCAAGAAGATGGTTTTCTTCCCCAGCTCCCTCAGTGGTCCATTTTCCCTCCCTCTGGTTTCACAGCTTCTTTCCCTATTTAGCATAAAAACAGAAAGTCAGTTTTCCCTCATGCTCATAGCTCATCAAAAGGCCCAAGATACTATGTGGCTTTTTTTGCCAAATGGAGGGATAAAAACTATTTCATTCCCTTTTACTGGGGGCAGCCACAGCTTCTTAATAATGATGGTTCTTCCCCTGATTCCCTTTGTTGTCTTCTCTTCCATTGCACCGCACTTTCTTTGCATCCCTTTAGGGGACTATGTGGGCAAGAGGGGTTGCGAAAAGATTATTTTTCTAGGATAATAACTTTGATGTGGCCCCCAAAGTGGCTTAGAGAGCCCAAACTCTTCTGCCTACGTGAGTTAGGAATCACATGCATTCCATCCAGCCTCACATGGCAAAAACAGAGAGGAAAACATCCTTTTTCCTTCTCCTTTGTCCTGCTTCTGCTTCCCAAGAAAGCAAAACAAAAATAAGAAATCATTAGAATAGTGGAAGAGAGTAGAGATTGTTGAAAAGCTCTCACTTAAGAAGTTGTGCCAGGCACTAAAAGGTTAATACCACTGGTAGTTCCTTCATTTCTCCAGATCCTCCAGCCTTTTCTTCTGTTTCCCCTAGAGACTTAGAGAGCTTGAGCATGGACATGCATGCCTCCCCTCCTCCCTACGGCCCTCTCTCCCCATCGATGTGAAATCATGGGCATGTTGGCTTGCTGAATGTCTTCGGGCCACCCATTTCTCCCCACTGTTTTGCTTAACTTCAACTCCAATTTGCCCCACAGAACCTTAGAAAGGAATTATCGTTGATGACTATGTGTTTGGTTCCAACTTGCTCTTTACCCATGACCCCTATTTTGTATGTTTGTCCTCCTCTGCCCATACCTCTTAATGGTGCAGAACTAGATGCAGCAGCAAGCAGGGAGAGATCTCCATGAATAGGGTAAGGTGGGGAGAAGAAGAGCAGACCCAGCAGCTCTCTCCTGGAGAACTCCCTGCTGAATCAGTTCTCTACCAGGGGTGCTGAAGTAGAAGGAAGTGATGGCAGAGGGGTTCTTTGGATTATAATTTTGCTGAAATCTTTTCTCATTTCTTACTTTTCCATCTCTGGCCTCATTATAGTGAGAATGCGACCCTGGTGAGGTTGCTGAGGGGTTGGTGAGCTTTGCCAGGGGCCAGGCACTGTGTTAGAGGCATTAACTTATCACACAGTTTGTCTCTTATCCACAGAACTGCTCTTCCTGCACAAATCCAGGAGAGGCAGGAGCCCTGGGGAACCTGGGACTGGGAAATAATGGATTGTTTCATTGTCATCAGATCTGCATTAGTATGCAGCTTGGCCTCTCTCCCTCTTTCAGCTGAGGGAGATAGAAAGATGGTGGCCTTGGAGATCAGGCCAAGGAAGCAACATTATGGGGATGGGTGAGTGCAGAGACATCATGGAAAAGAGGCTCAAGGGGTTAAAATTCTTTTTTTGCATGCTTCCTGGCTCTCGCTAAGCTCCAGCCCCCACTGCTTTAGCCTCTTAATGAAAGCAGCAATCTTAGCTTCCTCCTCTTTATTTTTTCAATCAAGGCTCACTGCATCTACAGAATTGATAATGCCCTTCCTGGCTGATTGGAGCCTCTTCCTGACCTGGCAAAGTCTCCCCCTTGACACGGGAGCACATGGTCCTACCTGAAGCTACTGGCTTCAGTGTGACCACAGCTTCTCTGCTTGAGCACAGGTTTGCCTAGCCATCCACCTATGCCTTTAGAGGCCCTGGATCTCAGGCTTGCCCACGTCCACACGTCCATGAGCTGAGAATTATTGGAGGCAGGGTAAGATCCTGGTATTATAATTCCAATTTAGTTCCTACCCCAATCTCCCCACCTCCAAGTGGCCATGAAGTCTGAATGGCTCAGTAGCTCCCGTCCTCTTTCCTCTTCCTTCTTCCCTTGTCTTCTTTCTATACACTTCTTCCTCACCATTTCCTCCCTTTCTCTTTTTTCTTTCTTCCCTCTTCCCCCTTTCTTCCTTCCCCTCACACACTTTCTCTCTCCTATATTTTCTTCTTTCTATACTTTACTTCTACTTAAGCTGCATAGGGAAGTCTCTCCCTCTCTGCTCCCATCCTCTCAGCATAAAATAAATTTGGGGTCACCTTTTGAGCTCTCATACTGACTGAAGGCTGGAAGATAGAAGATCAGCGCTTTTTACTCTGTTATCTAAGGTGCTGGTTGGAGCAGGTGTCTTTGCTTGGAGGTGCAGCTCATGACTGGCTCATCCAGGAAGCTACTAAAAGAGCATGAAGGTCTGTCAGTCAGTCAACTCTATTGTATCAACTGTCCAGTCCATTCAAAACCTTGCACTCTGTGCCGTGGAGAGAGGAAATAAGCAAACAGTTCTGGTTCAACACGCAGGAGACACATATCTGGAAACATCTAAACAAGTGTAAGCGGAGTGTAGCTACCTAGAGCTACCCTCCATCAGAACAAAACAGTGAAAAGGGTGAGCATACATATCACATTCAGAGCCTGGAGAGAAAGTTTTCTTGGTTGAAGTCAAGGGTTTTATGTCAGAAACAGTAAGAGTTAAGGATACCTGGATAGAGGACAGAGCCAGAAGTTTCAATGCACAGATACCTGTATTACATCTGCGTATCATCCCATCTTCTGACTGTATAGTACCCCACTACCCTAATCTTCTCCCATCAGGCACCACCCTACCAACAGGGTAAGGAGAGCCCCAGGACTCAGGGTGCCTGTCTATCTCATGCATAGAAGGCCTGGTTGCTGAGGAAACAGCATTATGGCCAATACTCACCAACCTGCCTGTCCTCCTCGTCCTCTATCCACAGCATGGAGAGGACTTTTAGCTGGAAAATGGAGCCAGAACGAAGGCTCACAGAGAGGAGGGAGTGTGTGTCTTTTTGCTCACCTGGAAGCTGGCACAGAGTGGGCACTTGTAAAGATGTGCTGTCCCCCTCCTTTCCAATGGCCCAGACTGCTACTCTTCCCTCCCATTCATCCAAAAAGAACACAGTTGAAAAGAAACAAGTCACCCTGCCTTCTGGGAAATGCCAGTGGCCTTCTTCTTCCTCATCAGCCCCCTTTGCCTTGCCTCACCTCTGCTCTTTCCTTTCTTACTCCTGAGCCCTTCCCAGACCTACACAGTCAACATCGTAGGGACTCACAAAGGCATCCTGGGACATTTTCCTGTTGGCCTAAAACCAAGCAAGAAGAGCAGCAGTTGATCCTGCTGATTCAGCAAATTTATGTGCAGCCTGAGTTTCAAGGGTCACTCATGAAAAAAGGTAGATGGGTCAGTTCTGAAGGGAAAGTGACATAAAAAAGGAAGGGGGGCAGCTGGGACAAACAGCTCCACTCACAATCTAGACAGAGACTCGAATCCTGAATTTAAATCCCATGTAAAGGTTTTTAGACAGACTGGCTTTGTTGGGGAGCCTAAACATTTTTTCACT